CAGACTGCATTATGAAATGTTCTCTTATACATGACACTTAATTCCAATCTTTTTCTCCACTATTTATTCAAAAGGATTCATTACGCATATTACAGTGCTCATCTCAGTGCTCGTTTTGCGTACACATAAATACTTCAGCAATTTATACAACGTCTCATAAAAAAAGACGCACTATACGCATCGCCGTTCGAAGAGCTGCCGCCATCTAATCGAAATTTACTCGCTTCTGGCTGCGTTCAGTTCTCCAACCTCGCATTGCTCACCGGAAGGATAAATCGGGGAGAAAATCTTTTAATTTTAATCTTCCATCCCTCCAAATTTTAATCTCCCGTTCCGCAATTCAAGAATTTGAACTTTTTGTCATTCTCTTTTCAAAGACGAAAATCAGCTGCACCTCAGTTTGTTCAAAACAGACGGCTCCAGTACCTTGACAAGGCTGTTGTAGATGTGGTTCAAAGAATTTGCAAAAAACTTCCTCCATTTGCTTCATCCAACTGAAGTGTTTCAACAAACACTTGTGTCACAATTTATTCGCATACAGACAGAAATTTGTACAAACATAGTAAAATCAAGAAGCTGAAAGTAGTTCAGTGATACAAGAAATTGAGCTTTTTGAAATTAATAGGCAAACACTAAAGCTTTTGCACGCTGTTCGTGTGGTTAAAAATACTTTGTCAAAATTAGTCGTTGTTAGGATGGCGTCCTTCCCAAAATCTGCTTGAGAAGTAGAAGACAGTCATAATTTTGAGTTGGGCGGTAAGAAATTATCTCTGAAACAAACTAATGAATTGTCCGAAGGAAAAGACGGCTGCTTACGTGGTCATCTTGGGCAAGTGATAAGGAAAAACAGATAATTCATTTACTTTTTATCCCTTATAACTTGTCGTAAAAAGATCTATTCGTACACAATGGGCACAGTCGCTATAAACGAAGTACTACTGGATGGTGGTGCAGCCAGAGGCAGAGGAGAGAGAAGAGCAAATGGTCCCTTTGCATCCTGGAAGAAAAAGTCAAAAAGTGGAATTAAAGAAGTAAAAACTAACAGCTTTAAAATGCAAAATTTAGCTAAAGGCACAAAATTTGTCAGAAAAAAAATCTTAATCAAACGAAAAATCAAAAAAAAAATTTTTTTTAGAAATGCAACGTATGGTAAAAAAGCTGTATTGCTCAAAATTAGTAAGAAGAATCAGATTGTGTTTTCGTTTTTACTGTTTTTTTTTTATGAGGAACGAAAATCTGCTTGTCGACAGAAGGCTGGTTCTAATGGGCAACACTCGGTGCACTTCCTAATTTATATATATGTACATACAAAATTCATACATATAAAATTCACAAAATTCAAAAAACACATACAAAAATCATAAAATTTTGAAGCAATCTACTGCAAGCATTAACCTAATGTACCAAAAAAAAAGTCGATAGTTTAAATCAAAGAAAAAAAAAGCTCAAAACACAACGTCCCATTTTTCACTCTGTATCAACCGCATGCTTACAGGAAAAAATACAGCAAGAGACTGGTGCTTGAAATAACTGTACGTCTGTAATTTCTTTAATGACTGGCAGCCCATCATCGAGTATTTTTACTTGCTGGTTTATTATGTATGCTTATAAGACGATGTGTCATTTCGGCAATCAGCACAGAAAGAAATAGCCAGAATGGCACTGCAAGCCAGAACACCTGGATCAGGCCAAATTTTAATCGAATAAATAGCAGCACTTCAAAAATAACTTTGAAAACCAGCAATGCTGAAATTATTATTGTAAATCTTCCAGAGTGTTTGCTCAGGAAGTCTTAATGAAAAAAGAAATCATAAAGCTAAATACAAATTTGTCAAGAAGCAGAGTGTATCTACGCCGTTGCAAACTACCTATTTTCAAGACAAGCGGAAGACACCAACGATACAAAAAAAATTAGTCTTAAACCAGAGTTGGTAACTGGTGCAAAACATTTGAAAAAGGATCCAAAATTCAAGAAAAAAGAAAGCTATTAATGGAAACTGCAGTACAGAAGTAAAAAAAAGTGAATGCAAAGGTCGGAAAATTTGGACCAAAACTCTAATTCTAATCAAAAAAGACAAAAACATCTATTTGACCGAGCCAAGCCAAGCCAGATTTGCATGAGTTTCTTTTACGGGAAATGAATGAGTGGGTGCATATCACGATGGTTATTCCCAGGGATTTTTTAAATTCTCTAATAACTAAAAAAAAAAAACTTACCAAATGCAACCGCAGATGCTCGTTTCTCCAGCGGATAAACGAGTGCTCGGATCGGATAAGGCGCATTCATATCGTACCGGCGCCTGCCAACACCGCATATCTGATAGTGACGCACTACTCTGATAGCTATCAGAGATAAAAAAATCGCATCAAAGAATAACAAAACGGCAAAAAATAGCGACGGTTCGCCATCGAGGCCACCATCCTAAAAACCAGCACGACCTGTGTCATTACAGTGGCATAGCAGTAATATTTGAACTTTTCAAACTTCCCATAGGGAAGATATATCAAATGAAGTCAAACCGTTTACTTCAAGCTCAAAAAACAGCTAATAACTTCGCTTAAAAAACTTTGTATGTCGACAAAACTGTGCAATGCAGACGTGGGAAGGTCTTGTTAGCTTAATGCTCGAATTTCTGGTAAAAAATCTAAAAGATTCTCCATGAAGGTCTCCGAAAAGTCCGTGTCAGTCAGAGCTTCCAAATGCTCTTTTTGTTTTGTACTGATCCAGTGGATATCGCCATTCACCATGTACTTGTCGCAGAAAACCAGCGAAAAGACGGCCAAGAAGCCGCTACAAGGAAAAAAGAAGAGGTGTCTTATTTGAAAGGCAGATACACAGTATATATTCTGCCAAGCTAAACCCGGAGCACAGCGATTGGTGGTAGAATGAGTGTACTGGTAACACATTTTGTCCGGACGTGAAGAGGAGTGGTTCAAATTCCTTTCCAGTTCAGAACAATTTTCGAGAAAGGGCTTCGTTCACGACACTGCTGTCCGTGTAAAATGTTTACTCGAGATGACTTCAAGAAGACTGGATTGATGCATTATGCTGACAGGAATCAGTAAATGGAAGCAGGCAAAAGTAGAAAGTAAATAAGCTTAAAAGATGCTGCAGTTCGATGCGTCCTTGTAACGTCGAAAAGAATGCAGCAAAAAAAAGCGAAGCTTTTCTATTTGCAATAAGAGAGCGTCAAACCAATGTCAATAGTGCTGCAAGCGTGTGCCATCAAAGGCAGAACTTGAAAGTATCGCGAAAAAGGGAGAACCATTCAGAGAATGCGAACATGTGAACTGTAAAACACTAACACTCAGAGTATTCCATGCGAATTAATTGACTATATTTTTATCATTTTCTAAGAGAAACTATTTCTCGTGTGAAAAAAAAAAAAAACTGTCAAAACTAGGATAAATAAACTGGCAGAAGAAAAACTGAATAAAATAAAATGCAGCAAAAAAAATGCAGGCTGGAAAATAGCAGAGTGTGATAAGGTCTTGTCAGTGTATTACAAAAATTCGCTAACGACTGAGAGGAAATACATGAAATAGCGAAATAATTAAGTAATAAATCAAAATCAAAAATCGAAGCCTCCTCCATATTTCGCTCTCACTGAGAAGCGAAGATACTCGCGAGGTAGCCCGAGTGGTAGCAAATGCCAACAGTAACCACGCGCTGGCAAAGCTATTGATGGCTTCCACTTTTGAAGATTGCTTAGAAGCAAACTGATATATCGGATTTGATTCTCTGGCATATGCCAGTGCCAATTTACCATCGAAACAAATCGTAGGGGGAGTGGTTGTTACACTGGCAGAGTCGAAAATTCAAACCACAGCACGAGAACAGTGCTGCCCCGTTGCGCCATATCTGCCGACAAGTAGTACATTAATAAAATACCAAAGGAAAAAAGAAATCCTGACTTTTGCGCTAAAAGGATGCAAAAAAAGTGGGTGAAACTGACCAAATAGACAACAAGAAAGATCAGAGCCAGCAGAAGCAGTACCCAAACAAACAATGCTCGATGTCCCATACCCATTGAAGCCCGTCACAAATTGTGATAGCAAATATTCAAGCAATATCCAATTTGCTTTTCAAATCGGCGCTTGTTCCTGTATAACCAAATAATTAGTGATAAAATTATCTGCTAATTAAGCAGCACTACTAATTATGTAGATGGCATGATAAGACCTGACGTTTTCCGAACTGAGTAGCGGTGCAGTCGAGAAAAAGCACTTATGCCAGTTCCTTAAAGCTCCATGCTAAATCCGACCAGAACATAGGACATTAACTACAATCGGAAAACGAAATAGACGAATTGAGCCGCCTTCTATGTTTGTTGCAAAAAGTCATAATCTCTGATTTTCTTGCAAAAACCGGTCAAGGAAAATAAACTGCATAATTACGGAATAGTTTTATTGCAAAAAATCTAGAAATATCTGGAAAATTTATAAAATTTTGAAAAGAAATCTAGGTTTTTGAAAAAAATTTTAGAATATCCGGGAAAAAATTTAAAAAATCTGATACCTCAATGCTGAGGAATATTGAGTTTGTCGCTATGACCCGAACAATGCAGCCAGTGTTCGTGCGACTTCTACAGAAGACACCATCTTCTTCCAGAGCTTTTTCACTGTATCCTATTCGGAAGCAGTTTCAAGCAGTGCCGGATGAGCAATCGCATGAATTCCCCCCAAAGAAAGTGTAATTAGTAAAAGATCTGTCCGAAATGAGTGAACTCTTGACTGAACTACACTGTAAACTGAATTTTTGATTATTCTATGCTATAGTACGGATTTTTAGTGGAACTAAACTATAAACTTTTGATTATACTGTATTTTGTAAATCACTCACGCGATCGTTCAGTTTTCGAACAAAGTATTTGTTTAATAAACTGTCTGAAAGGACAAACTGCGTTGATTTCCTAATTCACCTAAGCGACTATATTTTCGCGAACTGAAAATAACACTGGATGTACTACAGCCCATTGCAAAATGTCTAACTATGCGTTTTTGCATATAAGCAAATGCAAAAACGCATAGTGCGACGACCCCGGTATGCATGTGTGTGTGTGTTTATTTGTGTGCGTGCCGTATATGTCTGTCGGGGAATTTCAACTCAGCAACCTAGCAAGCTCCAGCGCTAAAATTTCGCCAGTAGGTTCCCCAGCCAAATACCTCCTGGTGTCAACCTTTACACACGTCTGAGCTCCAAGTATGAGCATCAAGTTTTGGGGGGAAAATCGCTAACTTGGAGACCAGGATAGCTAGGAGGCTGAGATTTTCTCAGCCCACGTACAACTTAAAGATTTCAAATTCAGCCCCCAGGTGAGTGTGGCCGCATAGCCCTGTGGAAATTTTCGGCGGTAAAATTGCTAACTCAGGAACGAGAAAAGTTGGGAAACTGAAATTTTAACGGAATTTTCTCTAGAGCATGAAATACTGGAAAAACGCATGACCGCACAGATCCTACTGGTGTGCATCGCCAATGAATTTTTATGCAGCAAACCACGCGATTTCTTAGCGCAGATGTATTACAAGCGTATCTTTATAAATATGTGTTGAAAAATGTTGAAAAGTTTACTACAAAATCCGGAAACCACGAAATTTGTTAGGTGGGTAGTCTCACGTTATACTTCAGAATTGTTTGGTTCCTTGTTTGGATTGTTATGCACCCGTGTAGTATCACCTTTCCGGTAAACAACACTTACATACAACCATAGCGGTGAAATCCGACCCTAGTATCCCAGGATCAGCTGGCCTCTTGTGCTGTTAATGCACTACTCAGCTAGCGCTAAGATGGACGCGAATCATTGTTTCGAATCATAACTGGATAATGAAAAAAAGCCATAGCTGGTAAAAAATTGATAAGAACCAATGGGACCCATCGGTAGTGTGCAGTACCGAAAAGCCAAGAGTGCCAAAGATCTGCTGTAACTAACATGTGATGTCGATGCTTCAGGAACCATCCGGAAAAAACCGGAATTCTCTTAACAATGTGAGTGCGGAAAAATAATTCCAAGGGTTTTTAATAAATCCCAAAACGACTACACATATCCAAAGGAATTCGGCACAAAATTCACGAAAAAATGACTTATAATTTGGAAAAACAACTAGGCTCATGACCATTGTGACATTCATGCACAAGTGATTCTTGCATAAAAAATCATTTTATATTCACCAGGATGCTAGTATCAATAAAGCAAACAATATGCAAGCTAAGACAACGGTGTACATGGGACCCGCTTTCTTCAAATAACCATCTGTACGTGAAAGGTTTTTTCACTTAAACGGATCAAAAATCATGGGAAAGACAAGAGCAATGAAGGAAAAAAAAAAAAAAAAAAATTATGAAAAAGTCATATACAGTGCTCTGAGCTACAAATATTAGTAAGAACAGACCGAATAATCGCTGTAAGAATTCGTTGTAAATGGTGTTACTGGAATGCATCCTCGAAACAAGACGCAGTTATGACAAGCATCTCGGTACCTAACTACGTAATCCTAGTTGCTGACCAAGGCAATACGCATTATCTCTTCGGATGCCATCTAAGTGGTCGCTTAGTTTTTCGCAAATACCACTCATTGGTACGCGATATCCACCAGTGTCAGCAAGACCTATAAGATTTCCTGCCTGTCCAATAATTTTACTTTTCGAAGCAGGGAAACCGCAAACTAATAACAAAGATCAGCCAACAGAAATTGATACATGAAGAACTGGACAAC